AAGTTCACGCATTGTCGCTTAGTCATGTTTGCCTTTCAAGCGTCGATATGTATATACAAGACTAAGAATATTTAAAAACGACCCTGAATCTTTTTTCTCGCTGCCACTCACCTATTAGCAGATTGGGCACTAGTCATTAAAACAACAAAGCATAGTATTAATGGTGCTCAAAGTTTTGTCGCAATATTTATTGTTCTAAGTTATATCATAAAAACCACTGAAAATCCGGCTAACTACACTTAACGAGCAGTAAATATAAGTTGTGGAATAACATTGCTTTCAATACACGCAGTTCGACCATAAATCGTTATTGATAATTTTACATAGCTAGAACTGACTTCAGGACAAATTACCAAGACTTACGTATATATTTACAGCTTTACGAAGAATAATAGAACAGATAGAGTTTTGCATAGCAATGAAACTCTATTGTCTTGATGAAATAGAGCAAAATAACAGCAAAATAACATCGGAGTAAAACAAGGGGATAGGATGATGCAAATGAGCAAACAACCTCTTCGTTCACTTGGTGTTAAGAACCGATTGCTTTGCTAGAGAAATAAGCCTTGGTGTTCAAGATTATCATGTACTTAGACGTCTACTGCTGGACATAGGTCTTTCCTAAGGTTCGCCATAGTAAACAATCCTGTACAGCCCACATCCAGTGGATTCCCGCAGCTTCAGTTAGGTCGATGTGACTTTCCTCCATAGTGTTCGGTCATGGGTGGCATGGACTGCATGCTATATAGACTACCAATAACTGATTTCTTAAACAGATCTGACCATCTGGCTGATGTTCTGCCTGCCCACTGCGCGCTTGCCTTGTATGCGACCCAAAATTATGATCTTCTCTAATTCATGTCTAAGAGACCGCAGGATGTGTCCGAAGAAGCTCATAGCACGTTCGTCGCAGATGTTTTAAAATTTATTAATTTCAAATCTCATGTAATTGTTGCCCTTAATTGTAATACAAAATCAATTGTGCAACGGTCGACGGAACCTTTAAGTCAAAGCCAAGCTCAGGTTCACGACTTAATTAAACAAGCTACTTAGGCTGACAAGGCCGCCTTCCACTAGTTATCATACATAGAAGCTTGCTTCTTGATTCATTTACTCATTAGTATTCAGAAGTTCTCTACTCTGCTTGCATACAAAATGATGCAAATTAACTCGCTTGTTACGGTTCTATTCAACGAAATTTTCCAGTTGAAAGAACAAAAGTCACTCAACCAGAAGTAATTGTGGAAATTAACGTATTCATACACACTGAATCGGTGAAAGGATGAAAATGTGAAATAAAATAGCGATGAAACTGATTGTAAAGTTGAAATGAATGGGAGCCGTCGTCACAATTACGCTGCATATGAAGCACGGAAGGTTTCAGGTGCAATTATGAGTGGCTCTGGTCTGTTGGAGTCGTTTTTTTGCTCGCCTCTGGCAGACGAGCGCTCGGTTCGTTTAGCTTCATTTAATTTCTTCCCAATCAAGCTTTTGTATTAAATTTTTAACACGAGTTTTTTAAAATCAGCAGTTAATATATTTTAGATTTTTCTTTCATATTTAAGGACGAGCTTCACGCTACCGATATCATTAGGGATAATAAAACTAATAATGCCCATTCTAGGTTAAACATACTATTAGAAGTCTTATAAAAACAAATCATAAATCCAATTAAATTCCAATTAAAATACATTTTATATATCAATAGGAGATTGGGTTGTGGTAGTAGCTGGTTTACACTTAGCTCAACTATAACTATGCAGAAGTTAGAAGAGTCAGCTCAGAAGACAAAGTGAGGAAGATACTCCTGCTAAAGTTGAATACTGGGGAGAAACTTGAAGCAGTTATCGTCGCACACCGGACTTGTACCTATCCCTTAATACCCGAACGGCCTATTATCATTTAAAATCTTTTGGACTAAATATGTTTAGAATCTTATTGAACAGCTTAACATTTATCATTGTTTTAAATCAGAATTACAGTTTGCGTAGTTTACTATACAATTCAGGCGTAAATATAAAGCATCGAAGTAAGTGGTAGCACTTACAATAATATCTATGAGCTCCGGTACCCACTCAACACCCGCTAAGTAGTCCTTGTCCCGTCTATGCAATAAATAAATAAAAGTATTTTTAGATGCGCTATGAACATAATTTACTCTATTTGAGGTTTGTTTTAATAACAGTAAGTAAATAACTCGAAATTAGTAATATGATATTAAAAATTAAATTTTATTTAAATTCAGACTGACGTTTACAGCTCAGACGAACTTCGGCATGTGACACGATAACGTAGTCCAAAGTTTCAATAACACCAAAAGCTCTCGTGTTCACCGAAAGCTTTTCGCCGAAACAACGCAATTCAATACTGAAAGCATAATATCACAGTTTTCCATACTCGTAAATCGGACGCGCAGTCGTAATTCTGAAATGCAGAAGTTTATACAAACAAACGTTTTTCGTTCGCGACCCCCGCCCGATTCCTTATGAATTTACGAAGCTACGTAGTTCCATAAATTACATGAATCGTGGGTATACTCGACAGGAACGAGCGGCGTGCATTGAATTGTTAACATATAATAACAATGCTTGATATAGTTTTTGATCTTGATGCGTTCACACAAGGTCTCTTTCATAAAAAAAATATTCATCTTCTCTTTAAAAAATCATCATAAATTAAGCATAAAGTTACAATCTAATTAAATTGAAATAAGGATTTTAAAGCATCCGTTGTCTAAATGAAAGCGAAGGCTGCATGTTTTTAGTACGTGTGGGGCCGCAAGTTCACGAGATATGAACCCACTAAAAATACGAAACATTAAAAGTAAATCATGTGTCTTCCGTCTATATTTTATGTTATCACCACGAGCATATTTGCCGCGATTTAAAAATCATTACATATAATACGGATCTAAAGTTTCGGTGGAAGTAAAAACGTTTCGTCTGAAAGAAGATTGGAAATTTATTAGTGAAATAAAAAAAAAGACGTGTGGCACTCGGGGACTGCCACGGTAAAGCTATTGCAAAGCATTTTTTATCAACTTATGCAATTACAATTAGACAATAATAATTTAATATTAAAACAATAATAAAAATAAGACCACGCTATATTTATAAACATTAACAAAAGCAAAACATTAACTGTCCCCTTCACACTCATAAGCTAGACCGCGTAAGAGAGAGATGGTCAGACTTTTCATGATGCTCGTGCAGTGCGACGTCACACCGTGTGCTTATTCACAAACACTACACCAGCGCAACGTGTGAATGTGTTGAACGCGAGCTACATAGTAGGCGTAGTGGGGGTTTCAGGTTATTTTCGTTACGGGATTTCTTGATTCGGTTGCCGCGCTCAAGGCCCGCTATAGAAGCTATGCAATAGCTTAAAAATTAATGAAAGAGCTAACTGAGTAATTATAAATGAACGCAAATTCTTCAGTAACCTACTTCTATTTCCAATAAAACCTTAATTTCGGTTTCCTTCTTAAGTTCTATCTTGTATTTGAAATTTTTCCACATTTGTATTTAAACTTTGTATTAAAATCAGTAGCTATCTACAATCTAATAACTACGCCTACTATAATTATGAACAGTACAGCAAATGAAATCAAATCACAGAAGCATAAAATCCTATCAAATGTTTTTAAAAATTACACTTATGAATTCGTTTACAGATATATTAACTGGCAGAGCTTAATTTGAAGACTATTATTTACAGAAATCTAGTCTTTAAAATTGTCGTAATAATATTTTACGATGCTTTCAATTACAAACAGAAAACGAACCGTGCGAATAGAAAAGTCAAAATTGTGGATATTCGTTACTACGCCTCTAGTGATGAGCAATATAGGTATATTCAAAACATACCATATCACAGTAAATAGCAATCACATAAATAATGCTAGTTAAATAAGATGGATAAAAATGAATCGGACTGCAAAAACCTTTTCTATTGTAAGTGCTGCCAAACAATTTAAAGAATAAATGTATATTAAAGTATAGAAACACAATTGATTTTGCTTTTGTCTACATTTATCATATGCTAGAGAATACAAAGATTAACCCAGTTCTTTTTTTGTAAAGCTCGGGAAACATTACTTATTTAATAAATAAATTTTGAGTCAGCTAAAACATTTAAAACCGAAGCCTTGTATTTTTTTTACAGAAAAACATGTTTTCGCTTTCACTAAGCGAAGCCCACATAAAAGTTGGCAAAAAATATACAATTCAAGTTGTAATCCTACTTCTACGGTTTTACCAAGCATTAACAATACAGTCTGGATTTCTATGAAATTTAAAAATAGCTAACCAGTGTGGGATGTTCACAAGTAAGTTCGTGGTGTCTGTATTTTCTCTCTCAGTATTCGTTTGGAAAAATCCCTCGACTTTTTCTTTTTTTCTTTTCTTTAAATGGGAAATTTATGAAAAGGGGAGAAATCACGCATGCGTTCTAGCCTCTATTCTCTATCCTCCCCGCACTTCTTACCTCCCTAAATGTCTTGTCTAATCTAGACACGTTATTAAACTACTAATAGATTACTTAAACACTGTCAACAAATTTTGAAAACATTTTCATTAATTTCATTAAATAAATAAAAAAAACATTTACAAGCATTTTTATTAATTATTTTTCGATTCAGGTCTCTATAAATTTTAAATTTCTAAAAAAAATGAGCCTCAGTCGAATAACTAGATTGATCAAGTAATTCACTTAATTATTTTAATTATGATTTTATTTAATTATGATAAAACTATGACATTAAACTTATACAAATCAGACATATTTGCATATCTATCTAACAAATGGCATTATGCAAACTGCGAAGAGTTAAATACTATTTTCATTATTAATTTCGTAAATTATTACAGGTTTATGAATTAAACATGCCACGTATTAATACAAAGATTTTAAAAGAAATTCTCGAAATAGCCGAGAGCTATACACGATTTAATTCAATCGATATCTCGGAAAGGGTTTCCCGTTTTCGTCAAATTAAACGAGCACCTGTAGTTCAAAGGGTAGAACGTTCGCTTCAAAGTGCGAATATCCAGGTTCGAATCCTGGCTGGTGCGTGCGTAATCGTGTTCCGCTTTTTAGAATTTACATAAGTTTGTAAAAGCGGAACACGATTACGCTTATTATTATATTTTTCTAAATTGAAAATTTCGTCTACGGAAAATCCATATCCGATTTTGTGCACCGCAATTATTCCAATTATTTTAAAATAATTCACTGAAAACGAATCGGGCAGACGAGATTCAATTTTTTAAACGTTTCTTATTAATATTATGTTCAGGAAACGTGCTAGGGGAAATTCCTTTTTGGCAAAATGAAAATTTGTCCAAATTAATTCAATCGAATCAAATCTAATTAGTTTTTTATTAATCTTCTGTACTGATTCAGTTTTTCTGTTTATTTATACGAAACTTGGATAGTCTAGAATTTATATTGTACGATTTACACTTTTATTTGTACATACGTATAATTAAGGTGACATTTGTCATGTACTTTAGTGTCAATTTAGATTTTTTCTGAATTGGTGATTACTTGTTTGGCACAACTAATTAAATTAATATAGAAATAAAAACAGACGCTTCATTATTACAATAACAACATAAATAAACAAATATCACGATATAAAGTTTATAAATTACTTTAAGATTCACTTTTATTGTCAACTGCTTACAAGATTAAAAAGACTTAGATGGATTGTGTGAAAGAGGACCTGTGCGAGAAATATGTGAGTGCAGTGATGATGTATGAATAAAAAAGACGTCCATGTTGCGCCGACTCCAAATAGTGAGGTAAATGCATGAAAAAAAAAGAGAAAATCCACTAGATTAAGCCGTAAAAGTAGTTATAATTATCATAAGCCCTGAGCTAAGCCAAAATTATTAAGCTTAAGCGTTTCTCTCATGACGTTCTGCATTTTATTAGAGCTTGAGTGGGCGAACGAACTCACAGCAACGCGTTGAAGTTGTTACGGGAGCCCATAAATATCAGAACGTAAATGTCGCTACCCATTTTGAGATATTATGTCGATGTCTCGGTTGTGGTAAACAACGACTGTCAAACCCTACACTCGTAATTCATGGCGGCTGCTCGACAGAAATAAGCAGGTTCGTGGTACCTCCAAGTACAATACAATACCTACATGTTTTGGTGTAACTAAAACTTCGATTTAACTTCCCTATACGTCATTATCTGAGCACTATGCGTACCTTTCTTCAAAGAATACTTGTAGGGACTTTTCAAAGGAAAGCGTCGGCCAGGCTGTGTGTGCTCTCAGCATTGCTGATATTCACGAGCGACTTGATAACACATATTCACCAAAGACATCAATTAGTGGTTCCTGATTTTATTTTGTTGTTATAAATATATCTGATACAAATATGAAGTGAATCTTATTTTCATATATAAATAGATTTTAAATGAGAAACTAATTTAAAATAGTAAAAATGTCCCAAACGAATTGAAAGCAATTCTTTCCCACTTTGCCAATTCAGGTCGATCGTGGTCACCAATAATGTAATCAGCTGCAAAATTGTAGTTGTGTCACTATTAGGTAGATGGTACTCGTATGATGTAATGATTTAGTTCTAATAAGTGCTTGGTGTTGATTTTGAAAAGACGTTATTGAAATAGAAAAAGTATGTGTCCTGAAAATATCAGTATTTTTTTTTCTTGTCATAGTTTATTTGATGAATAGAATCAATGTGATGATTGAAAAATCAGCTGTTTTTCTTACTAATTGGATATGAATTGTGTATTGAAAAATAAATGTGTGAAGAGATACTACTACATACTGGTGGTAGGACCTCTTGTGAGTCCGCACGGGTAGGTACCACAAACCTGTCTATTTCTACCGTGAAGCAGTAATGCGTTTCGTTTTGAAGGGTAGGTCAGCCGTTGTAACTATACTGAGACCTTAGAACTTATATCTCAAGGTGGGTGGCGCATTTACGTTGTAGATGTCTATGGACTCCAGTTATCACTCAACACCAGGTGGACCGTGAGCTCGTCCACCCATCTAAACAAAAAAATAACTTTTAATTAAGTAAGTCTTTCAATAAAAGTAGGTACATACGTACGTTACATAAGTTTTCAATAAAACAAAGTACATACATAATTCACTCCTAAAGCAAAATAATCACAAGAATCTTAATTGAAATCCAAATCATAGTGAGGGAACAAGCTTTTATTTTTATTTTTTTACAGCCCTATTCTATTCAAAACCTGAAGCGAAAAGTGGAGATGAGTCAATGAGCTTACGGTCCAGGCGGTAATTGTTGGTTCCGGATCTTCAGTCCCTGCAAACGAACGCTGTAACGAGGTATTTCCTTTGAACTTATAAAAGTCCTCCGGAGCTAAATTGAAGTATAAATGTGAATCCTTGAGCCTTATTGAATTCTACGGGAATCGGTTTAAAAAACGTAAGATGCCATACAATCATCCAATCCAAGAAAAATAATGGAATATTGTCGTGTAACATAAAGGAAACCCGTGAAAAATATTTTGTTACCCATGTTTCCAAGAGGCGGTAGATCCTAAATATCAGGCAATTAATCTCGTTTGAAATTATTGTACATTGTGTGTAAAACTAAAACGGTTATGGGATGATTCATTTTCAGGAACGAATCTAATATACACTGTCTAGCGCCAGTCTCATTAGCCGCGTTTTTAATAGTCTTACCACTATCACAAAGCTACCATTATATACATAATAAATCATTGCCAAAACTGATTGCAAGTGAACTAGCTGAAGTGAAAACTTAACATAAAGTACATAGCATACTTTTAAGCTATTGCATAGCTTCTATCGCGGGCCTTGAGCGCGGCGACTGAATCAAGAAATTCCGTAACGAAAATAACCTGACACCCCCACTACGCCTCCTATGAAGCTCGCGTTCAACCCATTCACACGTTGCGCTGGTGTAATGTTTGTAACATAAGCGCGCGGCGTGACGTCACACTGCATGAGCATCATGAAAAGTCTGCCCATCTCTCATCCACGCGGTCTAGCTTATGAGTGTTAAGGGGACAGTTGATGTTTTGCTTTTGTTAATGTTTATAAATATAACGTGGTCTTATTTTTATTATTGTTTTAATATTTAATTATTATTGTCTAATTGTAATTGCATAAGTTGCATAAAAAATGATTTGCAATAACTTTACCACGACAGTCCCCGAGTGCCACACGTCTTTTTTTTATGTTACATTATTACTAGCAAATAAGTACCAGTTTTTTGGAACGAAGTTCCTTATGGGACGATGCGGAGGGTTACCCTTACCGGGAAAAAACGTCCGTAACGTAAGATTTTTATTAGTAATGCACACAGTGTACGACTTAACTTTGTAATAACGTACAAAAAATAACATATTTTTTATCATTCATTGACCACGATCTCAGGACGTCGGTTGCGCAATACACTAAATCTTATGCAAACAACCGTGAATGAAGTGTACCACAATAAGTTCACGCATTACCGTATGACTGTGGGTTGTTGCGAAACCTCCTGTTGTATTATCTTTATACCTCGTATAGAACATAAAATTAATATTTTTAAAATAAGGAACTTCGTTCCTATCCGGTGTCCCACGACACCACACATCTTTTTTTTTATATAAATAAAAAACTTATTTTGAAATGATTAAATAATAAAACGTCGAAATCAAATAACGTAAGTAGTTCGTTAAGCTTTAAGTTTTAATACCGGCACTGTTACGCCGCTATCTGACATGTCCCGACCGTAAAATACAAAGTAAAACAAGCAAAATTAAACGTGTAAAGCTGAAGTTTAAAAACCGTTTCCTTTAACTGCAATTTAAAGCCATTTAAAACGGAAATATCGTTTTTATGAATACCGAGGGAATTAAGTTTTATAACGCACGCGCAATGTAAGGTTTTGAAAGACCTGAAATTATTTTCTCTTTCTCTCACATTAATTTTTTTAATTGTTTTTTATTGCTTAGGTGGGTGGACGAGCTCACAGCCCACCTGGTGCTAAGTGGTTACTGGAGCCCATAGAAGGATACTTGAATACTTTGGCCACATCGCAAGGAAAGACCGTGACAACTTGGAGAAATTGGTGGTCACTGGAAAAGTCGAGGGCAAGCGACCAAGAGGCAGGAACCCGACCCGTTGGACGGACCAGATTCGTGCAGCCCTGGATAGCACAGTGCACGATGCTCTGCACTCAGCTGCAGATAGGAACAGATGGCGGTGCACTATAAAAAACAAACTGTTTCAAGGCCATGACCACAACCCTCAGTAATGAGGAAACCGACGCAAGGAGGAGCAGGAGCCCATAGACATCTACAACGTAAATGCGCCACCCACCTTGAGATATAAGTTCTAAGGTCTCAAATATAGTTACAACGGCTGCCTCACCCTTCAAACCGAAACGCATTACTGCTTCACGGCTGAAATAGGCGAGGTGGTGGTACCTACCCGCGCGGACTCACAAGTGGTCCTACCACCAGAATGTACATTCAGTATTTCAAAAACGCCACGGAAATTTAAAGGCTGAAATTTAAATAGCACCATCTCGAAAAATCTTTATTCCTAAAATGTCGCAGTCCAAACTAAGCAACGATTTTTATATTCCACCTCTAAATATTACAAACGAAAGAGGACAAAAACTTTCGCATGCAATTTCGTATTCTTTGACTTTAAAATTTGGTACCCGTACCTCTTGATGCAAATAGTAAAATATAAAATATACAGTGCCAAAGTTCGGCTTAGAGAAAACTTATTCCTTTGTCTGACTAACCAGCAGCTCTGTGCATGTATTCCCTAAAACAAATAACAGCGTAAGTCTCATATAGCCCTAGACTTTTCTCTTTAATGGGCTGCAATGGAGAGATAATGGCTGCGTGGTGGTTTTCTGAATTGCGCTATGTAGTTGGCGGTACTAAAAATATAGATTTCATATACCATATACGCCACTGGAATTTATTATCGAGAGGTGAAAGGCTATTTGGTTTAAGCGACATTTCACTTAATTCGCGACATTTATCTTTGTAATTAAAAGTATTTTTTATTTGGTATTAGTATCAACAATTGGATGTT